TCTCTGTCTCTCTCTCTCTCCCTCTCTCTCTCTATCTATGTCTGTCTGTCTTTCTCTCCATCTCTCTCTCCATATATGTCTTTCTGTCTGTCTGTCTCCCTCTCTCCCTATCTCTCTCCCTCCCGCCCTTCTCTCTCTCTGTCTCTCTGTCTCTGTCCCTCTCTCTGTGTCTCTCTCTGTCCCTCTCCATCTCTCTCTCTCTCTCTCTCTCTCTCTCTCTCTCTCTCTGTCTCTCTCTCTCTCTCTCATTCTCTTGATTCTTGAATGTTGTGATATTTTCATCGAAAATCTCCAGTGTTTCTACTGAGATGTTGTATCTCTCTCTGTCCATCTCTCTCTCCATCTCTCTCTTCATCTCTCTCTTCATCTTTCTCTCTCTCTCCATCTTTCTTTCTCTCTCTCCATCTTTCTTTCTCTCTCTCTCCATCTCTCTCTCTCTCTCTATCTATCTCTCTCTCTCTCATTCTCTTGATTATTGAATGTTGAGATATTTTCATCGAAAATCCCCAGTGGTTCTACTGAGATGTGGTATTTCTCTCTGTCTGGGTTTGCCTCGATATGCCGGGTGAGAAGCCCGCCTTCTAAAGGATCTAAATTGTGTCTCTAGGGACGTAAAGACATCTCTATCTTTTAAAAAGTGATTCATACCTTCAGTATTTTTCTCTCTCTCCGTGGGTGATTGGCGGGTGCTCTGGTGTGGTTTTCTCCTTCTCTCCTATCAAACATCTATCGTCCTTATCTCCCCTTCTTCTCTTTTATGTTTTTTACTCTCTTGTAACACCTCTAATCTTCTGGCGCTCATATGACCTTATGCAGTTGTGAGCGCCGTAAAACCTCTACTAAACATCTATCGTTGAACCCCCGGGGCTAACATTATCGTTCTAATTAATCTAATGCGCAGTAGAATTGTAAATGGGCTGATCCAACAGTGTCATGCTAATAACTGTGCCTGATCTACAACTGGGAACTGTTGCATTTTCTTTCCTAATCCTTACTATCGTCATTTTTTCCTCAATTTCTTTTGAATGTTTGTCACACTCTAGTGACCCGCTATTTCCGGGGTGCCTTGATAGTCGAAGTAGACTTTGTGCTGTTGAAGCTAGAGAGGTGAGCAGAGTAAGTCTGATTCCCTGAAAGGACTTCTCTGTTGACATCCACCCCTTTGCGCTCATATGACCTTATGCAGTTGCAAGCGCCGAAAATTCTATCGTCCGTATCACCCCTCCTTCTTTGTGTTTGTTACTCTCTTGTAAAACCTCTAATTTTCGGCACTTATATGACCGTATAGTGTTGCAAGTGTCGTAAAACTCTTACTGAAACCAACCTCTTTCTCCTACAGAAATCACCACCACTGTCCCGCCAACGACCACCACAGCAACCACCACCGTGCCTCCAACAACAACACCAACAACAACACCACCATTGTCAACAACCGCCGCGACATCAGCAACCACCACCGAATTTCTCGACATGAACATAACCACCGCAGACAACAGCAATATCTCCACGGTGGTCGCAACTACACCATCACCATCATCACCACCACCAGCAACGACAACAGCAATGATGCAGGCTGAAGTAGCGGTCAGTATGAAAGTGGACAAGAACTGGACAGAGGCCCTCACCGACCGGTCGTCTGCCGAATACCTGACCTTTGACCGGAACCTGGGAGACTGGGTGAGTCACCGATACGACAATGTGTGAGGCGTCGTGGTGAAATCAGGCGCTCGTCAAAATAATGAAATAAAAGAAATCCGTAATTTTTAAGGCCAATGAGCAAAATTTGTTTTTACAATTTCTTTTTTTTGTTGGGCTCAACGCCTTTTACGTCTATTTAAAATCACACACATTTATGTTGGTTTTTTGGGTTTTTTTTTTTAAACTGAAAAAACATTGATTAAAGGCACAAAAATATGTATATTTTTAGTTTCCTAGGACTCTTAAGCAATGGAAGTCATCAAACTTTGGCGACCATCTCCTCACTAACTTCACGTCTGAAACCAGGCGACCCTGACCTCCTTCAATCGCAAATATTTCAACTTTTATTCAATATAGATGATTTTTTTTTCCACCAAAAGGAAGGCTAATGAACGTGTTTTAAGATTATACCAATAACCCCATATGCTCAAAACTTGACGAGCGCCTGATTCCACCACATCGCACGAGGGGGCTATCCCGAAAAAAAGCTGTTTTGAGAAAATCGAAGGTAAAGTTTTTGCCCCTTGTTCAGTTTCTTATAAAAACAAAACAAGGAGAGTTTTCTCTATAACCAAACAAATATACACACCCATGAAACCAAACTTCTCCTATAGGTAGGGCGATGTCCACTTTTGGTGTAGGTCAAGATTTCTGGACACCCCCGAAATCTGGGTTAGTCCGCTTGTCCTGAAAAGCGACCATGTAGACCCCCCTTGTCTGAGACACCCGTGTGTGTGTTTGGCGGGTGCTCTACTGGGGTTTGTCCCTTCTTTCTTACCACACATCTGTCGTCCTTATCTCCCCTCCTTCTATTTTGTGTTTTTTACTCTCTTGTATCACCTCTAATCTTCGGTACTTATATGACCTTATTGGTTGAAAAGTGCCGTAAAACTCTTCCTAAAACTAACACTATCGCACCTGCCTGTTACATGACCTAATAGTGTTGATAGGGCCGTGAAACCCATACACTCTCTTTACTTTTACCGACGTAATTTTACGCTTAGTTCCCAGAAAATGGTAAGTTATTGAATACAACGTAACATAATAACAATAACAATAACAATAACAATAACAATAATAATATTTCTGCCTTTGTTTGCCCCTCCCCATCCCCGTCTATCCCTATCCCCCCTCTCCATCCCTCCTCTCCCTTCCCCATCCCTCCTCTCCCTTCCCCATCCCCCCTCTCCCTTCCCCATCCCTCCTCTCCCTTCACCATCCCCCCT